TATAGCCAGCATTACAATGCTAGATAGATAAATTTGCTCCAAGCCAATTGAGGCATTTATCCATTCAAAATTGAATCAAGAAATAGGCAAACCATATTCCCTGGTTGTTTCCTATCAGCCATGCAAATAAGCAACTGAAATGCAACAAAAATATAAAAGGAAAATACAAACGCAAGAAAGGCATTCTGCTTGCATCACCAACATTGAGATCCGGATTTCCATGAGTGTCTCCATTTCCAGATGCATTTTGCTCATCATTAGGAATCCACTTGGAATTGCTACTCTGAGGCCCATCACAATCATTGTTGGGGCTCTTAATGAACATTGCATCAGTAACTTGATCCCCTAGGTCCATAGATTCATTGGTCATGCTGGCACTTTCTGAAATATGTTCCAGCTACGCATTAGATGTCTGGTGCTTCTCAATTTCCAGTCTTCACAGGTTTATGGACTTTGCGTTTAGGATCCTGTTATAATAAAGAAAACAAAAAGAAAAAGAAAAAGAAAAAAGAGTGAAGCAGAAAATCAGAAGCCATTGCTGCATAAATGACAAAAGCCATTGCTGCATAAATGACAAAGCACCAAAAAGGGGAAAAGAAGAAAAAGAAAAAAACAGGGGATGAAGATGCTGAAAAGCTGACTCTAGGAAAAAAATATGCATATAAATGCTTTTAATTAGTGAAAAAGGTAATTACGTGCATTTCTATATTCAAAAAAGGATAAGTTCTCATAAAATATCTAGAGAACATTTCAGATTCTTCATTTCTTTGACCTCCCTTTTTTCACAGCATTTCTTTGGCAGAGCTGTTTTGGGTTTTTTATTAGCACCTCACTCACTTTCTTCAATACTTTCTTATAAGCATTTCAAACGCTAAAAAGTAGAGTTTCCCTCCAATACTTCTTTAGACCTGTGAGAGAAAAAAGTGCTTATAAACAAGTTGAAGAATAAGCTCTGCCAAACAAACAGTCATTTGAGGGTCATTAGCTCCCCTGCACTTGTCAGTCAAATGCATGCACATTTGCTAAAGCCAAGGTATAACACAATAATATTTTCAAATACTTCACAAATGACCCCCTCCATGCCTCTTATCTGCGAAGATATCTTAATCACAAAGGCTGATAAGAAATGTTATAAAATTGTATTGTTTGATGAAGTATTCCATAAGCTGATCAGTACAACCTCCAGTTGAAAGCAAATTTTGGTTCACAAGTTAGAATTACATCATTATTTGTTTCACAAAAAATGTAAAGCTCTAAATGAACAGAAACCTTCTAAAGCTCAGCTAACTCATTGACATATAATTACATTTGACATATAAAAGCCCATTTTCCATAGCCTCCCCTACCCTTTACCTTGTCCTCATCTTCTCCTATTGGCATTGGCACAGGATGGCTCCATGAACATACCTTCAGCCAGTTTATATTGGCATGTAATGACTCCATTTAAACCTTATAAGCAATCAAAATTATGCATATAGGGATGGTAGAAATGAAGGACTTCAACTAGTCTTCAACTTTTCTTTTGCAAAACATAGAAAATAAAAGCCAGAAGTCAACTAGAATGTCAAATAAAATAGAGCAAGTTAGATGTCCATTATACCTGAAGTGACTCCTCAGTATAGCTTTCTTTCACTTTATGCAAGTTAGATATTTCAACAACAATAGAGCTTCCGCTTGAATAACCCATCTTCCCATCTAATGTAATCTTTGCAACAGACTCAAGGACACCCTCATGGGAACTAGAACCAGACATGCTGGCAGCAAGACGGCTACTAGGAGAAGCAGATCCACCAGAAGCTCCACCAATGCTATTATCAAATAAAGGAACAATAACCCAGGTGAAGGACTCTCTGTAAGGCATAATTTAAGACCACACCTGCAGTTTCTGCCTTTCTCTCTCAGTCAAGTGCACCTGTTAAGGAGAAGATAGAGAACAACAATAATTATAAGGAATTTATTTGAGATGCAGAGGCTAAAATGTGCAATTACCTTAGAAATGATTACCATTAAGCAATAACAATAGTCAAAAACCATACAGCTACTAAAATAAATCAAAATTAAATTCATCTTCCCTGAGCTTTCGTCAACTCTAAAATATTAAGAGAGTCCTACAACAAACTTGATGTTCAGTTCAAGATTAGTGGCTGAAGGAACACTTGTTGAACTAACATTGTTTTCTTCACTATGTTGCCTCACACATGCAACAATTCTCAACTGACATAGTTTAAATTATTTCTAGACTTTCCTAATCATCTCTTCACTAAAATGAGAACACTTAGCA